AGTTGTGCGTCTCTCTGCAGTAGTTGTGTGTCTCTTTGGGCTTGTTGTGCGTCTCTCTGCAGTAGTTGTGCGTCTCTTTGGGCTTGTTGTGCGTCTCTCTGCAGTAGTTGTGCGTCTCGTCGTGGACCAGTGAACACCACATTCCTGCCTATCAGTGCTGTGGGCTTGACCAGCAGGTCTGAGCTTCCTGTGTGTTACACAGTCTGAAGGTAGAACTCTGATCATTAGATAAAGGTACTGCAGATACAGAACCAGACATTTTGAGGAGGTTCTGGTTTATTTTCTGATGGCTGTAACTGAGCAGCTCAGGGACCGACCCACCTTTGGTGAACTTCATGTAGTGGACTCTCTTCCTGGAGGTCTTGGACTTCTCCTCCAGACTGAAGCCTTTCTGCTCCTCTGCTGCAGGTTCTACACAAACAAAAACAGCAACAACAAATAAGTGGTTGTGAACTTTAACAGCTTCCAGCATCACTGAACAAACGTCTGCCAGCTTCCACAGCAGCTGCTGTTCACTTCTCTGCCACATGTTGCCCTGCAGCGCCCCCTGCTGGATGGACCAGTCACCAGCAGCCACGCCGTGTGGTGACTGGTCCACCACACGGAGCTGGTCACTGCCAGACCTCACACAGGTGTGTGTGTCTGCCCTGTGTCTGCCCTGTGTCCGCTGTGTGTCCGCTGTGTGTCTGTTGTGTGTCTGTTGCGTGTCTGCCGTGTGTCCGCCCTGTGTCCGCCCTGTGTCTGCTGTGTGTCCGCCCTGTGTCTGTTGCGTGTCTGTTGTGCGTCTGCTGTGTGTCTGTTGTGTGTCTGTTGTGTGTCTGTTGCGTGTCTGTTGCGTGTCTGTTGTGTGTCTGCCGTGTGTCCGCCGTGTGTCCGCCGTGTGTCCGCCGTGTGTCCGCCCTGTGTCTGCCCTGTGTCCGTTGCGTGTCTGCTGTGTGTCCGCCCTGTGTCTGTTGCGTGTCTGTTGCGTGTCTGCTGTGTGTCCGCCCTGTGTCTGTTGTGTGTCTGTTGTGCGTCTGCTGTGTCCGTACCGCTGCTGCTGCTCTGGCTGTGACAGCTGTTGAGTTGAGCCAGCAGCTGGTTGAAGTCGTCCTGGTGGGCGATCCAGTTGTCCTGAGACCATCAGAGGACAATACAGTCACACAACTTCAACACAACTTCAACTAACTGAGTCTGACAGTAGAATGTTTAACAGGCACCAGCTGGACCAGAGGAGGTTCCGTCCAGGTGTTTCTCACCTCGTGGCTGGCGTCGGCTCCCAGCCCATAGCTGTTGTTCTTCACTCGGACCTTGATGTGGTCGGTGGAGCCCTGCTCGGTCCGGCCCAAACCCTGAACACACAGGAAGCACATGACCCGAGTTCACCAATCACAGCCTGAGTTCTAGTCCCAGCTGGATCCAGACTGGCTGCTGTCTGGTTCTAGCTCCTGTTAGCTGGTTCTGACTGTGGTTCTCCAGACTCAATACCAGAACACCTGAGGACGGTTCTGGTGGGTCTGACACTGACCTTTCCTTTGGACCAGCCCATCCGCTCCAACATCTTCTGGCCAAACTTGGAGTCATCGTTGCTCCAGCTGCTGTTCCTGGGATCCACGGACCACTTCTGCTTCCTGCGGGCTGCACGGAGACCAGCAACGTTAACGCAACCGTCTACACAACGCACAGCCTACACAACAACAGTCTACACAACGCACAGC